GGTGTCCGGCTAGGGCTATTTACACAGGACCCCGCCTGACTAACCAGATCAAACGGTCTTACTAAAGAGCGTTCGATCGAGCGGTGCGCCTTCGCTCCTTCCCTCCGACAGAGGGGGCAGATTCCATACACAGATTTAAACCCCTTTTGGGCCTACCGCACAATCGGTATACCCCTAGTGGGTCTGCCGTCTAAAACAGCAGTTGTCTTACCTCCTCGTTCCTGAACCTGAGTTCACACTCATCGACGGGGACACCCCAGCACTTCTTACGTAGAGGCCGATGATCTCCTGGACAACAGACCAGTGGCGCCGAGACGAAGGGAGGTCCACGCAGAAGTTCAGGGGTGCAGCCGTAGAGAACGTGGGCAAAGATAGACCGTCTCACGCCTCTGCCTCTCAGCTACCGTTGAACGATGAGATTCCCGGCCAATGCACCAAATGATACCGGAGAAACTGACGGAAGCAAAGCACAGAGGGATGGACACAGGTTTCTTCAGGAAGGAAGAGATTCTTTATTGGATCACCGATCGGGACTCAGAGGGACTAATGTCACCAAAAAATACAGCAAGTTCTGAGCCCTGAACAATAGTGCAGGCTCCCTATATAGGCACATAACTCCTCCCATATTAAGCTCCACCCGCACATTCTCTTGACCAATCATTACAAATAAGAATTAACTTCCTGCTTGACCGCATGGCTTGTCCAGCACAATGGAGGAGGGGAATACTACATCCTGTATTCTTGCACATGCTCCGTACACTACTGATCATATCTTGCCTCGTGCAACCAACTGATCGATACGTCAGCATATGCACGTACACATGCCACGTGGTAATCTCGGCCTACTAACTTTATTTTTACCGAGATTCCACCACAATGTAATTTGTGTAATTTTTTATTTTAATATTTTTTTTAATATTTAATTTTTTTTTTTGTTTAGTCCCCCCCAGTGTGTGTGTGTTTGTGTAGTGTGTGTTTGTGTAGTGTGTATGTAATGCAGTATGTGTGCAGTGTGTGTGTGTGTGTAGTGATGTAATTTGTGTAATTTTTTTTAATATTTAAAAATGTTTTTATTTTTTATTTAGTCCCCCCTCCCTGCTTCTTACCAGGGAGGGGGATATAGTATTCCCTGGTGGTCCAGTGGCTTGTTAAGTACAGTGGTGGCTCAGCAGCAGCAAGCGCTGACTTACCAACTTGCAAGCAGCTCCTACAGCTCCCTGTGTAAATCTCGCGGCTCTTAGTGCCGCGCGGAGCGTTGCCATGGTAACCCGTGGCAACGCTCTGCGGCCGCGGGTCTCGCGAGATTTACATAGGGAGCTGTAGGAGCTGCATGCAAGGTAAGTCAGCGCTTGCTGCTGGCCCCCACAGGACCGCCGGGCTTATAATGGGCCCGGCGGTCCTGTTATATATTATCGGCAATATCGGTATCTGAATTGGCCGATACCGATATTGCCGAAAATACCAAATATCAACCGACATCGGCCAGAACGGAGAATCATCGATCCCCAATATATACTGTATAATGAGAGACCCAGGCCGCACCGGGAGTGTCATATAATATATATACTGTATAATGAGAGACCCAGGCCGCACCGTGAGTGTCATATAATATATATACTGTATAATGAGAGACCCAGGCCGCACCGTGAGTGTCATATAATATATATACTGTATAATGAGAGACCCAGGCCGCACCGGGAGTGTCATATAATATATATACTGTATAATGAGAGAACCAGGCTGCACCGTGAGTGTAATATAATATATATACTGTATAATGAGAGAACCAGGCCGCACCGTGAGTGTAATATAATATATATACTGTATAATGAGAGAACCAGGCCGCACCGGGAGTGTCATATAATATATATACTGTATAATGAGAGAACCAGGCCGCACCGGGAGTGTCATACAATAGATATACTGTATAATGAGAGACCCAGGCCGCACCGGGAGTGTAATATAATATATATACTGTATAATGAGAGAACCAGGCCGCACCGGGAGTGTCATATAATATATATATATACTGTATAATGAGAGACCCAGGCCGCACCGTGAGTGTCATATAATATATATATACTGTATAATGAGAGAACCAGGCCGCACCGTGAGTGTAATACAATATATATACTGTATAATGAGAGA